ATATATATATATATATATATATATATATATACACTAATAATCTGAAAAAACTTGTCTGCAAAAAGAAAGTCTATTCAAATGAAATGATACATAAAACTACACAGATTCTGTGATATAAAGTTGAAAGTGCTAATACTTACATTTTGACTCATGTTCGTTTGGTCATTTCTTTGCTGCAGCTGCTCCTGGAGATAGTCATCCCTAGTTTTTATTATAAGAGACCTGACATGAATCACAAAAAGGCAATATTTTAAAAAACTATCTTTTATTTTGAAAGAAATTATTATTTAGAATATATGTCTTCAAGCAGTATTATTTCATTATACATATTGAAGCATCTGCTTTAAGACTGGACACTAGATGCAATTAAAATCCAGAGTAGTGTTCTGATAAGTAAGTTTCAGCTTAGGTGTGAATTATTACTTTCTGCATGCATAACAAAGATCAGAAGTTAATCAGGCATATGGTTGAATATTTTTGTTTAAATTTTTTTTCAGGAGTGATGTCAACAAGATGATTGTTATGGACTGAATGTTTTTGTTCCCCACAAGTTCATATGTTGAAACCCCAACACCCAATGTAATGGTATCTGAAGGTGGGGCCTTAAAAATCCATGAGAGTGGCGCCCTTTGATGAGAGTAGTGTCCTTATAAGAAGAGGAAGAGACCAGAACTTGAGCTCTCTCTACTATGTGAAAATAGACAATAGGTGGCCCTCTACAAGCCAGGAAGAAAGCTTTCACCAGAACCCAACCATGCTGACACCCTGATCTCAGACTTCCAGCCTACAGAACTGTAAAAAAATTAAATACCTGTTATTTAAGCCACCCAGTCTGTCGTATTGTCTTATGGATGCCCAAGCCGACTAAGTCAAGACAATGACAGACTAGAAAGCTACAGGCTCTTCTTCCTTGATAGAGATACAGAGTTAGCAGCAATATATAGGGTGTGGCAAAAGTAGGTTTACAGTTGTGAGTACACAAAACAGAGTTTATTCTTATATCATTATTATTAATTATTGTATTATTCTTCATATGAACAACTGTAAACTTACTTTTGCCCCACCCTGTGCAGACTACAATATCTCTGTAAGCACTCTAGAGACCAGCTGAGAAGCCACAGCATCCAGTCCATTGTAAAACCAAAAAGGTATTCCAATGAATGAGGTAGGAATATTCATGGCATTTAGTGCACCCATTTGTGTATCTCTCTCTAAACATCACAGCACAGAGCAACCAGAAGGAAACCCTTATATCAGGGCTCCTCCCTTGGAATGGAAAGTAAAGATTGGACCATGCAGTGAATGTTCTGGTTTCTCTGGGAGCTGTCTGAAGGGCTGGTTTCTGTCTCTCAGATTCTGGGCATTGATGAGACTGGTGCCAGAGTTTGGAAGCCACTGAACACAGAGACAAACAGCACATTAGAGCTGCAATTCTGCAGGTAGATACCAAGGGGAGTAAGAGTTCATAAAAGGTTTGAGAGGTCCTTGAACTTGAACTTCTTAGATGGGCAGATTTGGTGATCTCCCTTTTCATGAAGCCACAATGCAGAAATTGAGAAAGGTGTTGTTTTTTACAAATGTCCAAATCTCAGCAAAAATTTACAAGATATACAGAGAAACAGAAACTTAGTCTAATCAAAACTACAGAAACAAACCTCAAAAAAATGCAGAACTGCCTGACAAAGAATTTAAAATAATAGTCATGTTCGGCCGGGCGTGGCTGAGCGGTTGAGCATCGGCCTGGGATCCAGGAGATGGAGGTTCGACTCTTGGTCAGAGCACATACCCGGGTTGCAGGCTTGATGCCCAGTCAGGGACATGTAGGAAGCAGCCAATCAATGACAACTCTCTCATCATTGATGTTTCTCTCTCCCTCCCTTCCTCTCTCTGAAATCAATAAAGATATATTTTAAAAATAAAATAATAAAATAAAATAAAAAATAAAAAATGAAAGAATGCTTTTAAAAAATAAAATAATAAAATAATAGTCATGAAGATGCTCAATGGGCTAAAAGAGAGCACAGACATGCAATTAAATGAAATCAGGAAAATGATGTGTGACCAAAATGAGAATATCAGCAAACAGATAGAAACTATAAGAAAGTACCATAGACTGGGTGGATTATAAACAACAAAAACTTTTTTCTCACAGTGCTGGAGACTGGAAACTCCAAGTTCAAGGTGCCAACATGGTCAGGTTCTGATAGACAGCCTCTACATTTGATAACTTTAAATTTAACTGAGCTAATACTACTTATTTGTATTGAGGATACAAAAAAATTATAATTAAAGATAAAGGAGAAAGAAACTGAACAAAATTGTTCATTATGTTTTAAATGTACTTGTAAAATGACAAAATATGTCATTGGAACATACAATGGGGTAAATACAGTCTATTTAATAAATGGTGCTGGGGAAATTGGATAGACACATGCCAAAAATGAAACTAGACCACCTTCTTACACCATATACAAGAATAAGCTCAAAATAGATTAAAGGCTTAAATAGAAGACCTGAAACCATAAAAATCCTAAAAGAAAACACAGGTAGTAAAATCTGACATTTCTTTTAGCAATACTTTTTCCTGATATATCTCTTCAGGCAAGAGAAACAAAATAATAAACAAATGGGACTACATCAAACTAAAAAGTTTTTGCACAGCAAAGGAAACCACCAAGAAAACAAAGAGACAACCTACTAAATGGGAGAGCATATTCACCAATGACACATCCAAAATTTATAAGGAGTTCATACTATTCAACAGCAAAAAACCCACAAAAAATCCAATAAAAAAATGTGCAGAAGACCTGAATAGACACTTCTCCAAAGAGGATATACAGATGGCCAACAGAAATATTAAAATATGCCCAACATCACTAATTGTCAGAGAAATGAAAATTAAAATCACAATGAGGTATCACCTCACACCTGTCAGAATGGCTATCAATAAATCCACAAAAGACAAGTGTTGGCGAGGATGTGGAGAAAAGGGAATCCTGGTGCACTGTTGGTGGGAATGCAAATTGGTGCAACCACTATGGAAAACAGTATGGAGGTTTCTCAAAATATAAAAAATGGAACTGCCTTATGACTCACTAATTCCACTTCTGGGAATATATCCAAAGAAACTCAAAACACTAATTTGAAAAAATATATGCGCCCCTGTGTTCGCTGCATCATTAATTACAATAGCCAAGCTATAGAAGCAACCCAAGTGCCCATCAATAGATGAGTGGATAAAAAAGTGATGGTGGTGCATATATTCAATGGAATATTATTTGGCCATAAAAAAGAATAAAATCTTAACCATTTGCAACAACATGGAAGGACCTAGAGGGTATTGTGCTAAGTGAAATAAGTCAGACAGAGAAAGACAAATACCATATGATTTTACTTATATATAGGATCTAAAGAACAAAACAAACAAAACAAACAGACTCATAGATACAAAAAATAAACTGATGGTTGCCAGATGGTAGGGTGGTTTGAGGGACTGGGTGAAAAAGGTGAAGGGACCAAGAAGTACAAATTGGTAGCTACAAAATATTCAAGGGATATAAAGTACTGAATAGGGAATATAGTCAACAATACTGTAATATCTACGTATGGGGCCTGGTGGGTACTAGAGTTATCAAGGGGAATCACCGTAAATTATATAAATGTCTGACCACTATGCTTTACACCTGAAACTAACATAAAATAATATTGAATGTCAATTGTAACTGGGGAAAAAACCTTACCCTGAACTCTGGGTGGGGGAGACAGATTTAAGCCTTGCCTTCTGTCTCCTGGCCAGTTGACTTCCCAATAAAAGCCTTTTCTGAATAGCCAATGTGATAGTATTAGATTCTATGCATTTTAGGCAGCAAGACATAGCTCAGTGTCAAGTGCTTTAGTGGAAGTATTATACCACTTTACAAACAAAAACTAGGTGTAAAATGAAGTAAGACATGACAATCCCTGATAAATGTAGAAATGTGAATTTCTGTCATTAAACATTTTAATTTTTTATAACAAATTATTTGTATACTGCTGATATAAATAGTGTGGGACCTTTAGCATTAAAATGGTACCTATATCAGATATTGTCCATATGCACAATAACTCATGCGTACATTTTGGAATTAATTTTTTAGCTGAAATCAGTAATTCTGTGCAGTTGTTAATATAAGCTAAAATATTTCACTAGGTGTTTATAGGCAATGAGAACTGAGGACAATCACTGAGATTTTCAAGCTAAAAATAAATTTTTACTCAACTGCATAACCAATCACAATAAAAGTGTTCTGTGGTTTTTAAAACTTGAATAATCTGCAATACTATTAAATTTCTCTGGTTCTTTTGCTAGGGCAGACAGGGCTAGCCTAACAGTTTTATAAGGCAACAGTGTATATATACAAATACAATGTATATATATACAAATATATATATATTCAAAATATATTTAGGAGGTTAAGATTGCATGTATGCATAGAATAGCATCCTCTCCTATGGGCTGATTTGAGGAAAGCAGGAAAGTTCAGTTGCCCAAAGATGCACCTATCATTTGTCTGATGAGGACTCTCTGAAGATGCTTTTAGAAAGAAGATAGAGGAGAGAAATACAGACATTCATTATTAAAAATTATATACTATCAATCTATCATAGTTGATTTTTAGATTAGCTAACCTAGTAAGTTGGAAGGTTCAAAGGGAATGGGACCCCGAGTCCAAATATTTGTATTGTGGAGAAGGATCAGTAGGAAAGGGTGAGTACATGGGACTCTGCCTGGGAAAGCTGATCTAGATGGAACAACTTAATTAGGGTACATTAAGAAAATGGATGATAGCTACAGAACACCAGCAAGTTGAAAGAATATTGATCCTATGTATACAGGGTGTCCCAAAATAATATATATACACTATAACAGCTGATAGCTTAATTCTGAAAATGAAATGTATTTTAATAAACACTGCCTTTATAATTATTCAAAGTGTGTGTATACATTTTTTGGGATACCCTGTATATTATCTCTATCCTATTAATATCTTTGTCCCAATAAAAGCCTGTTATAACAAATACACACTTAGTGGTTAAAATATAGCTATATAAATTTGGTTTTGGAAAAAGGCTTTTAAGGCCATTTATATATATATAACTTTCAGCAATGTTATATTTATTCTATTATTGATTGACTTTTAATTAATTTTTTCTATTTTTCAATTACAGTTGATATACAATATTATTTTATATTAGTTCCAGGTATATAGTGACTTTATAGTTTAAAAGTGTAAATTATTTTATTTTATTTTCTATTTTTAATTTTATTATTTTGAAATCAAGTCATTTTATTTAGTATTAACAGTAGTACTGTAGTAAATGCTACTACAGTAGCCCTTAACATTAACTGAGCTATAACTCAGGCAAGCACTACACATGCTAAGCACTACACATACATTATCTCATTTAATTCCCCAAATAACCTAAGGATGGAGGTATAACTTACCCAACGTTAAAGGACTCAAATGCAGATTAGTCTAGTAACATAATTAAGCTGATCAAGAAAATAAATTTAAAAATATACAGATATATAAAGTATGCCTTTACATTTCTACATCACTTAACCCATTGTACTAATGATTAATTATTCATTATGTTTTTACCTGTCAAATTCATACCTAATTTTGGGTGAAGTTCTGAATCTTTCTACGGGTGAGTATCTTCTATATTTCCCTGATTGGTCATGAGAACTTCCTGATTGGCCATGAGATCTCTCTGATTGGCCATGAGATCTCTCTGATTGGCCATGAGATCTCTCAGAGTGGCCACGAGATCTCTCTGAGTGGCCACGAGATCTTTCTGAATGGCCACGAGATCTCTCAGAGTGGCCACGAGATCTCTTTGAGTGGCCATGAGATCTTTCTGAGGGGCTACGAGATCTCTCTAATTGGCCTCTAGATCTCTCTTGTTGACGACGATGGCCTCTAGATTTCTCTGAATAGTGTCGATTTTCTTCCAGTTGGCCTTGAGATCTTTCCAAATGATGTTTGTTCTCTTTCGATTGGCCTGGATCCCTCTTTGCTTGGGTCTTAGAATTATCACTGCACTTGTCCTGCAATGAACCATAATTTTACAAAATTAATATTTCGTAAAGACCATTTCTATGGGCAACTTTTTATATGTAGAATTCCCCCCCACCACACACCTTTATAGACTAAACAATTTTCAGAATTAATTTGCAGAAAGCTCTGATGTCTCATGTCATTAGAAGAATATTATGCAAATAATACTTTAATGAAATGTTTATATATGGAAAATTAGTTGCTTTACAAATTTGAATATATTCCAAGGTCATGTTCTACCTACTGTTTGCTGGATCTGTTTTTGTTTTTTTTTACCTAAAGAAACAACAGATTTTGTGACTTTATAGTTAAGGAGAGACAGAATATAATAGCACAAACCCTTAGAAACAAAGGAAAGTGTTCAAAATCATACTATTTATTGTTCACTGTTCAGGATCATTAAAAAGTTATATATCTCTTCAGTATAAATGAACATTTAATTCTAGTCAGAAAGACAAATAACTAAGGGGAAAGGTGGCTATAAAGAAAGCAAAAGTTTGGCCTAATACTGTTCAGGTAAACTGGCCTGGTAACAACTCAGCATTTACCTTTTCATTTTTTAAACCAAAAGAGCAGTAGAGTGAACCAGCCAAGTGGAAATAATGAAAGCTTTGACAAAGTTCTACGATGCTACATAAATGTAAGAGGATAAAGTCATATGGACTGTATGGAGAAATCAAGCTTTCCACTAGTAAATATTGCCTAGCAAACAAATATGCCCTAGATCTGGCATTGTAACTTTCTAGTATAACACTACCAGAAGCTGGAAGCAATTGTTAAGAGGTACAAAAAATATTGTTCACATAAAACTTTAGTAAAATAAAAAATGACAAATTTGTTGCTTTGCTAAAGCATAAAGCCATAGCCCTTCTTCAACTTTTCTACTGCAAAGCATAAATAAGATTGGGTGAAATGCACTTGCACCTCCTATCTTTTTTAAGTGACTAGTGTTGGGAGCACAGTGGGTCAGCAGGCAGAACTGAGACCCATCTCCTAAAGATCCATATGCACTCAAGTACCCTTCCAAAGGGCTTGTAATATTTTTGAAAATGTTTAAATAAGAAATATTTTCATCAAATTGGATGTTACCAATTTCTACCTTTACAAAACAAATGCACATTAGTTTTCTTTTGTTATAACAGAAACTCTATAAAAAAGAATTGTGTTGAATAAATACAACTGTATTCTAATAACATGAGGATTAAATCTTGTAAAGTACAAAACTAACTTATTAGAATTTTTGAAGCATGATTAGAAACTGTAATTTTTATTAAATTTATTGATGAAGTAATTATGCTTAAATTTTAATATTTCTTGGCATTTATTTACCTGCTTAGTTAAAGACTTCCTGTTTAACAGGCTTTGTCCAGACTTGAACCCAGATCCTTGGTGTGATTTTTTATCATTTCTTTCCTCAACGTTGTTTCTGGATACTGAGGATCCTTTGAAAAATAATTATTTTCTATATTTTCAGTCAGTAAATTCAAGATGTCTTTTAAAAGTATCATCTTTGATCTCATTGTTTTAAAGCTATGCACAGGGTTTTATAAAACTTCGCTATTTCATTAGTCTGATATCATTGGAGAATCTCACTGAATTCTAGAACAGCCTTTGCCATACTATTTCTATTTGCATACCTTAATATGGTAGTCTTCTCTGTATATATAATATCTCAAATTTGGTTTCATATGCCACCAAAGTTGGTACATATTATCTGAAATTAATTGAAAAATATCCTAATAGGAAAAGGAGAGATGTGGAGAAACTGTGCTTTGTATTAATCATGTGAATGTTTGCTTCATCTGCTTTGCTTTGGGTGTAAAGAAAGCTTAAGAAATGATCAAAGGATATGGATCTCCAAAAAGCTCATAAAGATCAATTTTATGTTTAGTTAGAAAGATGAGAATGGGCTGCCTCACCATTCTTAGCAGCTTTACAACTATAATAACCACCATCCCTTACTTTTCTCAGAACCCACTAAGCCACTGAAGGAGTCAAATAAGGATTCTAATGAAGCTGGGCAGGCAACTGGCAGGGGCTTAGAGTATGCACAATATCAAGATGGTTCTTACCTGTTGACTACACCATGGAGATCCTTAATTGTTGAAAAGACTTCTCTACTATGGCAATCTATATCTCATTCATATTAAAATATGCCCACTGCACTGACTAATGTGATTAGGGATATGACTAACTTTCTTCATGTTCTTCTGCACTCTTCTTTGCCCTACATCATTCATTTTTTCAAAATGTGGATGCCATGGTGCCCAGATTATTAACTATTGCCTCCTAAAAGTGGAATTGGACCAACCAGCCAGGCAAGTGAACAAGTACAAAACATTTCTCATTCTATCCAGATCTCCTTTAAGGAAATAACTTATTAAAAATTTTGTTCATTTGTCATGGCATAAATTCTTACCAACACCGTATGCCTACATTTATAAGAAAAATGAAACTAGCAACGTAATGCAACTTTAGAACACATTCCAAATTTGTAAATTTGCTTATGTAGCTATTCACAAATATTTCAGACTCTTTATACCACATGTGATTATTAGTATATTTTACCTCTCTGCTGGCGATGCTCACCACCATTTGATCGCTGTACTGAAACTGAGTTCCTCTCTCTCTCCTTCTGTATCTCATTCTCATCTTCTTTAAAGCTTGGATATTCTATCTTTCTAAGGATTATAATGTCATCTGTATGAGAAAACACATAAAAATAAAGACAATGAAAATGCAAATTACAATGTGTCTCAAGCGAATAATCTATATTCTACCCTCACTGTATGTTAAAATATTATTTATTTATTTATTTATTTATTTATTTATTTATTTATTTATTTATTTATTTAAATATATCTTTATTGATTTCAGAGAGAGGAAAGGAGAGGGATAGAGAGATAGAAACATCAATGATAAGAGTCATTGATCGGCTGCAGCCTGCAACCCGGGCATGTGCTCTGACCGGGAATCGAACCCCAATCGCCTGGATCCTAGGTCAACACTCAATTGCTGAGCCACGCCCGGCTGGGCTAGAACATTTTTTAAAAATTAGTAGCCCTATAAAATAAAAAATGATGACAATATAATAATAATGAACTTGTGAAACCACAACAAAGATCAAACAATGCAGATGTTTTAAGATTAGTTTCATGGAACAAGAAAAAGAAAAATTCCTGTTAACAGACTCATAGTAACTTCATTCATGCAAAAATATAATACGTTCAGAGTAAACTAGCTTAAAGGGGAAATCAAATAAATAATTTTACCAAACATTATTTTAGTTTCAGAGAAACAGAGTGATGGTACCAATCCTGATTAAATGTAAGTGCTATAAAATTAGTTGTACTTATTTTCTTGAAAAGAAAGGAAACAATGGTTATGGATATTCACAGGAAATACCAAATAAGGTGAAGAACCAAGACTAGTGTAGTAGTAGGAAGCAATTAGACTACTCTGTAGTCAGGCATGTTCTTATGCACTCACGCAGAGATAGCACTTACATGGCATGATTTGAGGGATGAGAGGCAGGTACAACCTGCTCTAAAATAGTTTTCCTAACATCTGGGATGAAAAGCTCTAAAAGTAGGATGTTCTGTCAATAGATGGAAACTTACCTGGGTCAAGGTATCTTTAGAAATAAGCACAAACTAGGCATTTGGAAGGAGCTAGAGATACTAGAAAAAAGAAGGGAAGTTGAGAAGAGTGCAAAAGAGGAGGCAGTTGGATACTAAAGATTAACCACTCCTTTATTATTTTGCTTAGTATTAGTCCTGCCTCAAGTCTCTAAAACTCCAATTCTGATTTTCCTTGAAAAGGCTGTCAACTCCAAGGTAAAAGTCAACATAAAGCTCAATAATCAATTGAGTATCATTCCTTGGCAACTCCATTTTAAGCCTTTGTTCTGTCTGCCTCTCAGCAGTCATTGATTGTAACCTCTCCTACAGACATAGTCTTTCATTTTCTATTCCTTGTATTCCTTATGCATTCCTTTTTCTTCTCAATTTTCCCCTCTGTTGTTTCTCCTGCTTCTACATTTAAAGTATGTACAAATCTCTGTACAGGTTGTGTGTTTTTTTCATTAAAGTATAAGGGAGTATACTAACAGAACATCTTAGAAGACATCACAGAAATATTTTTAAATCTCTAATCCCTCCCCCTCATTGGCCCTGAAACAATCACTACCCAGTTTACAGGCACCCAATGAAATGGGTGATTTCCTAATAGGAGAGCAAAACTTCAGAGAGGAGAAAGTGAAGAGCAAGCTCCTTCCTAAGTCAGTACCTTTTGCAATGGCAGGAGGGGGTGCTGTGGGACCAGTTTGTCTTGTGGCACTCATACCCAATTTGCAGTGACTTTTAATTTTTCCTGTCCTCAGATTCACCAAAAATAATGGCAAGCTCTGTCTTAGAATCTTGTAAGGTTTAAATAAAATAGAAAATTTCTCATGCAGATCTACAGCTGCAGTTGAGAAACATTTATCTAAAGTTTTATGACAGGAGTGGCTGAATGGATAAACTGTGGATTAATAAAACAGCTTTAAATTGATAGTACTTTAAAGTTCATAAAGCATTTCCACATAAAAGCTCTTGGCACAGTATCTGACATACATGAGATACTCGATAAGTGAGATAATAAATGAACAAACATTTATTGAGTGACTTATATATGCCAGGTACTGTGGCCCCACACTAAAAGGTCAGCAGATATTATCCTCACTTTATAGAGAAGGAAACAGATTCAGGAAGATTATATGACTTACTTGATGGCACAAAATTAATGTTACCAAGCTTAGACAGATTCTAAGTCCAAGATTCTTGCCACTACATTACACTTTCTCCTTCAAAAGTATAGTTATCCTACAAATTAAGACAGCAGCACCCAGGTTACCTACCATTCATTTGAATGTGACATTCCTATTAAAATAGCATTTTCCTTTCAACTGTGTTTGAAATTAATTGCACAAAGTCAAGTTTAACATTCAGGTAATATAACAGCAACCTCTACTCCAGTACTGCCCTGTCCCCTGGATTTCTTCACCCTAAGATTTGGTATACAATCATTATCAGGCTTGTGCCAAACCATATAGTGCCATACAAGAAAGCTATGGCATGGCTTTAAATCCTGTCAGTAACCCCTTTTGCCCAAAAGGACTTAGGTCATTTGAACTTCCAATCAAACCACCCTGCAACTCACATGATCTTTTTAAACTCATGAGTAAAATATATAAAATGGCTGCAGAAATACCTAAAGTCCTCTTCCTGTATAATCATATCCTTTTCAGTTTACATTTTTAGCTTATGCATAATGTTATAAAGACTTTGGTCTTAGTGTCATCCTGAAAGTACACCACATTAATCCCACAGGATTTTCTCAACCCTTTCTTCTGAATATATTACTGTATGGAAGCATTTTCCCCTATCAGTCTAACCCAATCCAAATATCATATAACTCCCTAGTACTATGAATGAACGTTACAGAAGAGTAACAAATCGCAATAGTATTACAAAAAGCAAAACGTTGAACTTTTTATACAAGATGGACTTTTTATAAAAATTATATTCCCAGACAGGCTTTACAAAGATTGACTGTCATAGTTCACATTCAACAAATGGGTATAGCCTGGCCGTGTGTGACTCAGAGGTTGAGCATCAACCTAGGATCCAGGCAATCGGGGTTCGATTCCCAGTCAGGGCACATGCCCGGGTTGCGGGTTCGATCCCCAGTCGAGGGAGTGCAAGAGGCAGCTGATCAATGACTCTCTCATCATTGATGTTTCTCTCTCTCTCTCTCCCTCTCTCCCTCTCTCTCCTTTCCTTCCTCTGAAATCAATAAAGATATATTTTTTAAAAAACCCCAAAAAACAAATGGGTATAATTTTCATATCTGCTACTTGGCCAACAGCACCAAGATATTTTGACTCAGTAATTGTTCTAGAAGAGAAAAGGTAGAAATATACTCTGGTATCCATACAAATCTACAATAACGAGACTCTCCGGGTCAATAATACATTATTTTCCCACTTATTTTGCCTTACTCGAAGGCTGTTCATCACCCTAGGCTACAAAGGATTTTGTTATGGTGTTGACATTTAAATTTTCTTAAAAATGGTCATTGTTTTCACCCAATTTAGACTCATAAGTGTTAAATAGAAACAGCCCTATAATATGGGTTCAAGTTGAATGACTACACCATAGCTGCTACATAAAATTCATTTAACTAATAGGAAATTCAATTTTCTCTTCAGATTTTTCATTTTTTTCTTATATTTATCCCATTATTGAATTTCACACCAAAGAAGTTCACTTGTGCAAGGGAAGATAAGCACACCAAAGCAGAGTACAAAAAAGCAGGCTACACAATAGACAGAAGGAATTTGTCCTGACAATCTGTAACACAGGCCTAGAATCACTCTAAATCTGGAATGGGAACATTAAGCAAGAAAACACCTATCCTTCATTTTGCAAATGAGAAAACTGGGGCCTAGAGAGGATAAGTGATAAGCCAAAGGTTAGTGAATGGCAGAACTGGGCTTAGAACATAAATCTCCTAATGGAAGGTTTAGAAAGTCATACTATGGTTTTTAAATATTATCCTATAGGTTAATAGTTCTCTACTCTGCCTGTGCCTCAGAATCATCTGGATAAATTTATTTTAAAATAGAGAGGCCCTGCCCGGCTGGGCGTGGCTCAGCGGTTGAGCATCGACCTAGGATCCAGGAGATCAAGGTTAAATTCCCGGTCAGGGCACATGCCCAGGTTGCGGGCTCCCAGCCTATCAATGACGGCTCTCTCATCATTGATGTTTCAACTCTCTCTCTCCCTCTCCCTTCCTCTCTCTGAAATCAATAAAGATATATTTAAAAATAAACAAAAAATATATAGAGAGAGCCCCTATCCAAGATTATGAGTTAGTAGGACTGAAGTGGGACTCAAGTATTTGTATTTTTTAAAGTCCTCCAAGTACTGTAACTTTGATGTTTAGCCAAGACTGCAAACAACTGCTGTGAGCAATGGAGAACCTTCAAAGAGCACAGAAGTGAAATTATGAAATTGATGGTTTGTAGAATATCAATTTGTGATTGGCATTAAATTACAGAATAGAGACTACACAAAGGAAGACTAGTTACTTTGGGGTAGGCAGAGGGGTTGCAATAGTCCAAGCCTGAAGAAATCGTAGTTTATACTAAGATGGTATCAGGGAAAAAGAAAAAGAAAAACAAGAAGCCTTCTCCCTATCCACCTCAGATCCAATGGGAACATTGACTGCAGCGGCCTCCACAGCCTCACCCTCCTTCTACCCATCCCCTTGCAAGCACAAAGATTTTCCTTGAAAAAGAAAGGGTGTTTTAACTGCTTTAACTAAAAATCGGTAACCAAGAGAATACAGAGCCTTTCAAATTCCTTACCAGGCACATTCCGTGGGAATACTCACATATACTTTTCAACAGTTTCAACATTAAAGATAAATTATACAAAGCAGTGCCTGTTCTTTCTACATCCTGATAAAAAGTTTGCCTTGAAGAATAAGTGTTTCCAAACTCTATCCTCAGGCTCCCTGATGCCAAGGGGGCAAGACGACCCAAACTTATCTGTACATTCTCTCCATTTGATAGAAAACTCTTAATTATTGAAATGTATGTACCCTAATTGAAACTTCTAAAACACCAGATATATATTTGTCTCTCACTCTTCTACCTACATAAGCAGCTCTCACTCTTCTAAATCAGAGCACTGTTTCAGGGCTTCTTAGAGCTCTGCTCTTGAGCATTTCCTCAGTTTGGCCCAAGTGAAAAATGTCTTTCCTTAAATTTACAGAGATTCAGGTCTTCTTTTCATTGACACCAGAGTTCACAGCATTCTCACTGAACTACTAGTTATTCAAGACCTCCCCAGGTCACCAAGAAAATGAAGCTGAATTGGTAAGGAGGAAGAACCCATAGAAAGATGTTAGAATTATAGCATGAGAGATACCTTCCTAGAATTCTCTTTTACTCTGTACCACATTATTGCATAAAATATTATTATAAATGATTGCTGTAATCCAAACATCAGTGCACCAAATAGACATTTGTGCATTGCCCTAAAAAACTATTCACCCTTTATAATATTGTTTTAATGAGGGAAATTCTTTATGCACCCAACAGCTGGCATACGAATGAAGTATCAGAACATAACAACACATTTGCCAGCTGGGGATTGCCTGTATATGACTAAGTACCAACTGAGTAACATAGAACTAAATTATATGCCAGGACAGCAGAGAAAAGCCAAACTATTATGTATAGGAACAACGGCAAAATCCTTGTGGCAGAGGTAGATAAAATGAATAGAATTTGAATGAACGGAAAGATTCAGGTGCTCCAGGAAAGACAAACAACACACACACAAAAAGGCTTGGAACCAGGAATTAATAAAGTATATTCATGGAAAAGATCAGCTTGGCTAGAATGGAGGATTAGTGCTGGAGAGTTCTAGTAGGAAAGGTTAAATAAGGTAGATGATGAAAAGCCTTGAGTGTCTCAATATATAGTAAGGCATAGGAACTAGGGCATAAGTAGTAAGGATTATGGACAGGGAGTGAGGGGAGAATCCCCTACAACATCTGGCACAGTGCCATATCAACCTACCAAATAACAAGCACTTACTGAGAGCATTTCTATGTGCTTGGCAGTATGCTAGGTATCACATGAAATCAGGAAATTAATTTTTAAAAAATTTTCAATTACAGTTGACATGCAATATGATATTAATTTCAGGTGTATAGCATAGTGGTTAGACATTTATATAACTTATGAAAAAATTATGAAATTAATCAATGCTTTTAAAATAGAGAGATAAAATAGAGAGATAATTTATATTATCACTGCACAGTGATATTTGAAAGGAAACCATCATCTTTTCTGTTATCTAATAATTTCTCATTTGACTATCTTTAGAAAGTAAGTCCACACACACCCAAATCAGAGCTAATAAACAAGTTCAGAAAGATTATAAAAGATCCATACACAAAAATAAATTCTATTTCTCTACACTAGCAATGAACTATCTAGAAATAAAGTTAAGAAAGCAATTCTGACAAGAAGACCATTCATTAGAGGAAAGAACAGTCTTTTTAAACAAATGATTTTGGAACAACTGAATATCCACATGCAAAAGAATGAAGTTGGATCTCACACTATACTCAAAAAATTAACTAAAAATAGATCAAGGTTGTAAATGTAAAAGCTAAAACTAAAAAACTCTTAGGAGGAAATATAGGGGTAAATCTTCATAATTTCTTAGATATGATACTAAAGCATGAACAAAAGAACAAAATAAATTGTACTTCATAAAAAAT